TCTCTCTCTCTGTCAAATAAATAAATAAAATCTTTAAAAAAAAAAAATAAAATGTGCCTAAAATGATTTAAAGACATGTGAAGACCTACGTGGGAGGCTGACAAGTGGAACAAACAAGTCACAACACGCAGAGCAGAGAGGGAGCCCTGCTTCTGCAGAGACTGTGGCCGAATCACTCCGTTTTGGCAAATGAGCTGGAAGTGGAAGGGCCCTCGGGGAGACCCACCACTTTCTCTCCGCCCCTCTTCTGCTGCCCGGGGTGTGGCTACAGCCTGGTAAGAAGTCTTGGGCCACACTCCCGGGACAGCCCCCGGGCCCCGGCAGGTGGAAGGCCCTCCCTGCCCCTGCAGTTAGGTGTGGAGCAGCCCCTCTCTCTGGCTCCTCCGGAGCTAAGTCTGTTACTACCTGCATTTTGCTTCTCTGTATGTTCTAAATATTTTATAATGAACACTGTTGGCCCAGCTCCTCCGAGGAGCAAGACACCAAAAAAACCAAACGGGCAAGGATTTAATTAGGGGAGTCCTTTCTCTCCGAGAGAAAATGTGCCAGGACCTGGGGACAAAGACTATATATTTTTTTATACCAGTGTCCCAGCTGCACCTGCCCTCATCCAGACACACGTGACACCCTGTGATCACGGGGAGGCAGGGACTAGGGAACTCACCCTTGGGAGCTCTTGGGCAGTGCCCGTGGCCCTCCCCACCCAGAGTTCAGGAGCGCAGGGGTGGCCAGGGGCACCGCAGTGCCAGCACCCGTCCCCTGCCGCCGTGTCCACTCTGCACAGGGAAGAGACCCTAGAAACGGGAAGGGCTGTCAACCAGAGGGCTTGACAATTTGGACAAAATGGGGAAAAACACCGAAGGTCAAGAGGTCAAGTGGCGCTGCCGGCCGGGAGGGCCTGTGACCTCGCTTTCAGGGAAGTGGCTCGGAGCCGCTGCTCCCCCCGCCAAGGGTGGTGGTGTAGACAAGCCGGGTTCAAAGTCCAGCTGTGCCCTGACCAGAGAGGCAGGGTCCCTCACCCTGTGCCTCAGTTTCCTCCCCAGAATGGGGCAAGGCGGCCTCCGTCGCCCAGCACCGAGGGCGTGGATGAGACCGTGGAGTCCCCGGGGTCCCCGTCGTTAACCGCTGCCCGCCGCCCGGGGACCCTGGCACGACGCGCTCAGCTTCTCCACTAGCAAACCACAGAGAATAAATCCCGTCGATCGATCGGTCCCTCCCCCTTAGGGAGTCACTGCTGCCCGGACCGCCGAGCCCTTAGTCGACGCGGGCGCCGCAGTCCGTCCCCGCCCCGCCCCGCCCTTCACTGGGACCCCCACAGCCCCCTGGTCCGCTCACCTCCGCGCACGCCTGCCCAGCCTGGGCCCCTCACGCTCACCTCCGCGCCCGCGCACCCAGCCCGCCTCCCTCTC